CATTACCAAAATGCTATCTTTAGGGTCCATAAGACAGGTGCTAGGTTAAGTTCTTTAAGCTATTGAATTTAACCTTCTGATTGAGGGAGGGGATTATAAATCCATTTTACCAAAAAAAAAAAAAAAGAAAAAGAAAAAAAGAGTGTGTGTGTGAAGCAGATTAAAAACAGGAGTTCTTAACCTGTATAGTTTTTAAGTCTGAGAATTTTGATGGGAAGAAACTTTCTTCTTCATTTTTACTTCATTTCCTTCAATATTCCAGACAACAAACCACTGGTATTTCACTGTACTTGGCTTAAAGTACAATTTAAACCACATTATCAATTATGCATCAGAACTTCAATGTTAGAAATCAGACCCACCATTAGGCCTAATTTAGTGTTTCAAGTACATTAAGTCATAAACTTAATATTTTGGTAATTATTTTCATGTAACATTTGAGTAATCTCACCTGCATCTCATGCCATGTAAAAATCAACATTCTAAGGGGCCTGCTGGAATACCAATCTGCCAGAGAGCACGGCATTAAAAGGAACCAAGTAACCTACCCAAGCTCACAAAACTGCTTTTACATTCTGTATTTACATTTCTTACTGATAAAATCTGACCCAAGAATCAGAGTAACAAAAAACTACGAATTACGTTTTCTTTCAGTACCTATTGAGAATAAGACCACTGACTTCAAATAGACAATCCATCAGAATTCTTTTGATATAAAGGATGTAAGTTTACTCTGCATTTACTGAACAGCATAGTTAATACAATTTAAAAATTAAGTTACCTGGAGCCTCCAGATACAGCTAAACATTTTACACAATTCCTTTACGATGACAAGTCCTTTAATTAGTGGCTATATATATAGATGTAGTCAATGTAACTCTTCCATATATTTTAAGGTATTTTTAAGCTGTCAACATTCTTGTGTATACCCTTCACCCAGTTACTATTTCTTTACCAATAAAAGTTGAACAGTATGGGTTAATTCCCATTTCCTAGCAAGCTTTCAGAACTGTGCACAATGTACACTTCAATGCACCCTTGCCATTATGTGGTGTTAGGGTCTCTGAAAATGTGTTAAGCTTAAAATGGCTTTTACCTATTACCACCTTACATCCCCCTAAACCTTGGCATTGTAGTGTATTCAATCCAAAGTTAAAAATCAACCCAGTGTATCCAATTTTTGCAAAACAATCTCTACATTTACTACGTCTGTGACGCACACATGCAAACTCAAATTTTATCTCATTTCCTATTTTGCAGTTTATGTAACAATGTCCTTTTACTGTGAGAAAACAAGGGTAAATATACTTTTGTTGGAAATAAGTCCACACTCGTCCTTTATTATTCCAGGACCTAAGTATTAAACTGAAATTATTAGACACGCCATTCTTTTTTGAGACGGAATCTCACTGTCACCCAAGTTGGAGTGCAGTGGTGCGATCTCCGCTCACTGCTTGTTCCGCCTTCTGGATTCACGCCCTTCTCTAGACTCAGCCTCCTGGGTAGCTGAGACTACAGGTGCCCACCACCATGCTCAACTCATTTTTTGTATTTTTTAGTAGAGACGGGGTTTCATCATGTTAGCTAGGATGGTCTCAATCTCCTGACCTTGTGATCTGTCTGCCTTGGTGTCCCGAAGTGCTGGGATTACAGGTGTGAGCCACCATGCCTGGTCTAGACATGCCACTCTTTAAGATTACTTAACTGCACAGAATATGAAACCAGTGTTTGAATACAAGCAAAATGAGTTTGCATTAAGTCTAACAGCTAGCCAAGAACCCTCATGTGGCTTCAACTTATAAAGTATTTCACTTGAAAAAATTATATTGGGAAAATGCTTAATAGCTATTAAGGCTAGAAATCCAAATACACGTAATTTCAAAAATTAAAAAAATCATCAAAGACCTACCCCCATAAATGAATCCAGCAAAACAGATCATTATCCTCATCATCCTTACCCTTTTCCTCTTCGGTTAAACATCAGTGTAGTTTAAGACTACGAAATTTCCTAAAAGGTTTTCCCCAACTTACTTTCACCATATAGTACTGAACCACTCCACTGCCTCTCTCAAGAAACTAGGGAATTCCAATATCCGAAATGCCCGTTCCCTCCTAGCAACCACCTTTTTCTCCTAGTTTGTTTCTATTCACTCACTCGTTTATCCTTTTTCCCCTCAAAGGTTCAGATGCCTCACATGTATCACCCAAATACCTAATATATTGTCAAGACCTAAACTATTTTAGGCAACAAGTGCTGATAACTTTAAAAAATATTTTTTCTTCCATGCCTATTTCCCATATAATAGAATTCACATCTTTTAAAATAACTGATAAAGGCTCACTCCAAGTTTCCTGTTGTTTTATTACTTACTGGTAAAATAACTGGTAAAATATTCACCTGTAGTGTTTAAGTCACATGAACATTGTGAAGTGACAAAACAACACACACATTTCTAAAAATATTTTAATGAAAAAGTTATCTTTCTGTAAACATTTCATTATACTACAAATGAAACATCTGAATCCATTACAGAACACTTCTGAATTCTTAAAAATCAGAAAACATACTGAAGTTTTAAAGTAATTTTGAATATTTAGATAGGCTAACAATCCTTACATTACCCTTGCACACTGGCATGCTTATTCACTAATTTGTGACATTACTGGAACTCCAAGAGATACTGTCAATTAGGTTTCAACTTTTGACTATTATATACCGGAACTCTTAAAACCAAGCCTACTTCAATTAGTTACTTAACAAATGTACTTCATTATCATATATTCTCCTTTAGGACATGAGTATAAATTCAGCTTTTTAGAAGTGTAATATTAGAAGCAGTAACCTACAAATTGGTTTAACAAAATCAGTTAAATCTGCCCCAACCACTTATATAACAATTTTTTTTTTTTTTTTGCTGCTGCTACAACTTATGAGAATACTGTATTTTTCAGAAACGACAATGGAATTATGTTTAAACAAAATAATTTTATTTCATAAAAAGAAATGAACTAGAAAGAACAATGCCCTTCAGAAAATAAAATTGTTTGCTTCACTAAAACCATGTTGTGAGGGAAATTCATCAAAGGCTGTTACCTTATTCAACACGTGTAGAAATTGGGTTCTGATTTAGATACAGAGCCAACCAGTCATTTTCTGAGACTAAACACTGGCAAACTGCGTCTTCATGTAGGGAACTGGTAATTTAGAAACTAGTTTGCATTTTCACTATCTGTCTCCAAAGGATTTTTGTTTTTTAAAGTAAACTAACCACCTAAATGGTTAAGCCCTTTTGGGGCAGCAAAACCAGCCCTTATTACCCAACAACAACCAGTCTGAACAGTAATTCAGTATTCTTCAGGAAAACGTCTTTTTACAAAGGAGAACTAATTAGGCCCCCACTGCCTAACAGATGAACCAAAACAAAAAAGCAAAATGTAACCTATTGGTCCAGTGAATTCCCTGAATTTATATGCAAGAGAACGTATGAGGCCACTTGAAAACCAACCTTTATCCATGACATCTGGTAACTTTTCTTGAGATGGGGTCTGTCACCCAGGCTGGAATACAGTGGGGCAGTCAGCTCACAGCAGCCTTAACCACCTGGGATCAAGGCATCCTCCCACCTCAGCCTCCCAAGTAGCTGGGACTACAGATGTGCACCACCAGGCCCAGCTAATTTTTGTATTTTTTGTTGACAGGGTCTCGCTATGTTGCCCAGGCTAGTATCAAACTCCTGGACTCGGGATCCATCTGCCTCAGCCTCCCAAAGTGCTGGGATTACAGGCGTGAGCCATTGTGCCTGGCCCTGGTAACTTTTAATGTTCCTCTGAAGGTGTTTTCCTAGTATGAGGATTGGCAGCTTAATGTGTTGTGTGTCATGCTTATTACAAAAATGGTTTTCACAAAAGCTGAAGCTACTTTCTCTTACCAAAATTTGAGTTTACCCTGAAGACACTAATAATGAACTGCATACACGAGGGGTCACAACTGACTTGATATTAATACTTATGGCTATTTGGCAGTAGAATTTTTAAAACTAAGGTTTAAAATGTGTTGGACATGGTACCCAGGTAGTTTTCAGTCGAAGAATTGTATCAATGTGCCTACTAGAGAGGGACAAAGTTGTGAAATATGTAATGTAGACTTGCAGGGAAACAAATGGTGTCATCAGGTTTTACTGTCAACTACAAACCTTACCCAGCCAGAAACCTTCGTATTTTAGATGGTAGGAAAGACATTCCTCATTTAGGCAAGTAGGGTTCTCATTCAACCTGCAAATCAAAAAGATTACTCTTACCTTGCTTTACAAAAAATTACTCTTTAATTAGTGAAAAAATTCAAATTCAAGCCTTACCTAATGCTTATTGCCCTTCCTTGCAGGTCTAAATGCTAGACCTAGTGACTGTGGCAACTATCTCTCATTGATGTTCCAAAAGGCGAAGAGCTCCTTCCTGCTAGACTTTCTTCGATATTTCAGTTGTAATAAGCAGATTTAACTAGCTTTTGGAAAGTTGCTCACTATCATCATAGTATCTTATGCCTTCACTTCTCTGTAGTTGAAGCTCTTGCTGCTGCCTTGTCATTCTTTATTTATGCTGACTTGTCCAAACACAAAAGGCTGCTGAAGTCCTGTCTTAGTGAGTTTCCTTTGATCCACACTGTGCTTAAAAAGCACATCTTAGGTCCTTTAAAGCTGGTTAAATCGCTCTCCTCATGGCTTACTTTTCCACACTGTTCACAAGATCTAAGCTAATACAACTTATAAACAGGTCACATACACAGATTTCACCTGCTTATAGGTTGTAAACATCAACTTACTGCAAATGTTTTCACTATAATACTAGTTCCAGAACATAGAAAGTTGGTTAACAGTACAATTAACCTCATGCCATTAAAGGATACTGTCAAGGTTGTGTCAAACAATTTCACAAACATAAAACAGGAAATGTTAATCTCCCCCATTCCTTTAAACTTTATTTATATGAATAAAAGAACTTGAGACAATTTAGCTCAATTTTAATGTTTCCCAAGCATTATTTTGACCAGGTACCCAGGTTTAAGTTATGAACATTGACAGTGTCCATTATATAACCACACTTGAAGTTATTAAGGACTTAACCATTTTCTAATATTAGCCTATTTTCTACACTGCTTTTCACATATATGCCCATTAACAAATGGAATGTCTGTTACATTTACTGTTTTGTGAATGTTTCTGGAAAACTGCAGTATGTGTGAAGACCAATTTCCATGCTGGCATTGCATGCATCCAAATATTAATGCACAGAGGCACAGAATTAGAGCAACAAGAGAGCATATTCAAACACTAGCACACCCCATTCCCCTTTTTATTGCTTGTTTGCTTAGTACTTCTTAAAACAAAAAGAAAGACTTGAATTCAACGTTCAACTACCAAAGAAAGAGTAACAGCAGGGCACATACTCCGGGCTCAAATGAAATTGTAAGCACTAGCTGGCGCAAAACAGTAGACATTGGTTTATATTACTATATATATATGACCTTATTATCTATAAGTCTTCTCAACCAGGGCCTTCCAAACCAATTGGTAACATGATTTATGTTGAAATATACACAAGAAATAACAGTGTGTTCTTTGGGCATTTAAGAACTCAAGACTATTCAAATTTGAATTCAGGTCTGTAGGAAGTGAGAAGCCTGTACTAAGCAACTGTGCTACATTTCTGCTGCAGTTAGGTTATTTTGGACAATTATACCTAAACTATCCTTGGTTTCATCCAGCAAAATGTATAGAATACAAACAGGAAAGCATGCCAGCCAGTTAGGGGTTTAATAACGCATCATTTTTATTCTCTTGCTCTGAAAACTTGTATCAAAAAAAATTAAACTAAGGAAAATAACTCAAGATTTATGGGCCTCTTGTGCTTTAAAAAAAGAAAAATAAAAGGTACCCACTAATTTGCTCAGATATAGCAGGCTTAATGGTTCTATATTTTGAAAAGTTTTTAACAATAGTTTCTAACATAGGAGAGGGAAAACATCCACTATCCCTTTTCAGAATTTAAATGGAGGGCAGTAAACATTCTTTACACCCAAAACCTATGGCAGCAGTTCAAATTTGACCAAGATGTAAATGTATGGAGATGTTCTAAACACAGCTAGGACTCAGCAAGTCTAACACACTAAAATCATATGATTACATTTTAAAAGAAAATGCACAAAAACCAAATAGAAATTTTGAGATTTTTTTCATTTGAAGGTAATCTTAATGCTATTAAATTCACAAATGCTAATTTAAATACCCAATCCTATTTATCTAAAACACACATTGCAAACACACAAATTATCTATTCTCTCCACATGTCAGCGCCCATTCATATCATGGTTTGGAAATGGGGAGACTAGATTCCCCTTAAACTGCAAGTCAGCAGGTGTTTCTTTACAGTTAACTTTAGCAAAATTCATACAAAATAGTAATTAACAATGATCTTCTTTACTTGTTAACTCACAAGGAAACACCTTCAAAACTGCATTTTGTTAAAGTTTCTGTACTAAAATGTAGAAAAACTGAACTACACAAATATTGAAAAGTTAAAAATTCCTTAATTTTTTATTCCTGGTACCACTACCACAATTTACAGGGCAATATACCTGATGTAATGAAAAGAAAAAGAAAAAGACAAAGCTACAACAGATAAAAGACCTCAGGAATGTACATCTAATTGACACTACATTGCATTAATCAATAGCTGCACTTTTTGCAAACTGTGGCTATGACAGTCCTGAACAAGAAGGGTTTCCTGTTTAAGCTGCAGTAACTTTTCTGACTATGGATCATCGTTCCTTCTGTGGCAGATTTTTACAGTTCCTCTAATGCATTTGGGACGACTGTCTCAAAGTAACCTGCAGCTTTCCTGACAACTCCTCGCTCTCTCTCCTGCTAAGAACTGTAGCCTGTTGAATAATACAGGATAAAAAAATTATTACACTCAGTGAACAGTTCCACATATTCTTTTATCATCATAATAAAAATTTAAAGATACCTACCCTTTTCTGCTGTTTTTAGAACCTTCTGCTACCATATCCACCACTTCCACCACCAGATCCATAACCACCTAAAAATAGACATAGTATTTTAAAAGAAGTATATACATTTCTTTAATTAAAAAGGCTCTAAAGAATTGATGTAAGAAAGTACGTACCACCATAGGGACTGCCCGAGCTTCTTCCACCAAAACTGCCCCCTTTCATGGGTCCATAATTTGACTGCTGTTGTCCACTATAATTTCCAAAATCATTATAGTTCCCACCACCACCATAGTTACCTGAAATCAGAAAGGTTTTATGTGTGGTTTACCTACACAATAATCATTTTCCCCTTTTAATGTAATGATTATCTTTTAAGAATTATGGTAGCATGATTATACACATCACTTTGGTAGCACCACTTGGGATAATTGATGTCAGGGTATTAAAACACAATCAACATTTTGTCTATATTAGATGCTATCCTCTAGGCCCATGTTCTCTCTACCATTAACACCATTAAAATTGTCAGTGTTCCATTCACTATGATTCTGAGGCATTTTAACTTGTTAAAACTTCACTCATCTGTCACTGACATGTTAATTATGTCCAACAAAACAGTCCATTCCTAAGAAAGCTTTTAACAGTACTCTGGATTAATGACCTATACTTGCTTGCTTAAACTCTGCAACTACCTGTGACATATTAAGACCCAAAGTACTTTGTTAACCTAAGCCCTAGATGGCAATCTGCACACTTCAACATGTCTGGAGTATTCAAACATTTTATTCCCAATTGTCCAGTTTAAATGTACCTAAGAGTTAAGTAACATTTTGGCAATAAATAAACTCCCAATCTTTTACATGTAAAACATGTATTAAATACTGGTAAATGTTCATTTTTAACTACTCAATTAAGAATTGAGTACATCTGACTGAGCGTGGTGGCTCACGCCTGTAATCCCAGCACTATGGGAGACAGAGGCGGGCAGATCACAAGGTCAGTAGATCGAGACCATCCTGGCTAACATGGTGAAACGCTGTCTCTACTAAAAACACAAAAAAATAACCGGGCGTACTGGCATGCACCTGTACTCCCAGCTACTTGGGGGGCCGAGGCAGGAGAATCGCTTGAACCCGGGAGGCAGAAACTGCAATGAGCTGAGATCACGCCACTGCACTCCAGCCTGGGCAACAGAGCGAGACTCCATCTCAAAAAACAAAAAAACAAACAAACAAACAAACAAAAAAAACAAAAAAAAGAGGAGTTGAATACATTTTACTAAATAACCAGCAAAGTCAAGAAAATTTGGTTTGAACTATCCACCATTTTAGTATTTTTTAATATTACAGAACATAAAATTTGATAAAACGCTAACTTTTAACACTTTTCAAATATGTGTCATGCCAACTATTAGCAACACTGAATATTTAACATTTAAATAAAACAAGTGAATGCTTACCGCCAAAATTTCCTCCTTCATTGTAACCATCATATCCTCCACCACCGCCACCATATCCACCACCTTGGTTTCCATATCCTGGTCCACCACCACCATAGCCCCCTCTACTACTATAACCAGGACCACCGCCATAGTTGCCACCTAAAAAAAAACAACAAAAAACAAGACCACACAAAAACGTTTCAAGTGTATAGTCGAGTTATTCAATTCTGGTGTAAGAGACTGAGTCTTGCTCTGTTGCCCGGGCTCAAGTACAGTTGTGCAACCACAGCAATGCAGCCTTGAACTCCTGGGCTCAAGTCATTCTCCCACCTCAGCATCCTGAGTAGCTAGACTATGGGCATGTGCCACCACGTTCCCCTATTTTATTTTTCTAGAGACACGGTCTCTCCTTATGTTGCTCAGACTGGTCTCAAAAGCCTCACCTTAAGCAACCCCTCTGCCTCAGCCTCCTGAACAGCTAGGATTACTCAACTATGGTTTTATATTACATTTAAGCCACTGGCAAATAAGCCAGTGAGTTGATTTAACACTCTGAAGCCTGGTGATAGCTAATAATAACAGAATATCAAGTATCTGCGCTAGTAAGAACGAAAGTAAGTGTTTAACCATCTTGTGATAGTTAAAAAAAAAAAAAATCAGTTTTCCTTTTATAAAATTTCACTAAGAAAAATACAGTCTCAGACTTAATAAAACAATCTGGCTCAACCCCTACTACTTGCTGAAAAAGAGCAGCTGATGTATCTTTAGGTGAAAAAGGGTTCCTGCTCTTCTATGGCGTTAGTTTGGAAATACACCTTAACCATTAAGCCATTCAAGCTTTGACTAAAATTAGAAAAGTGTAATAAATAATTTTCAGGAAGTTAAAATATCAATCGAAAATAAGCCACGTACCATCACCTCCAAATCCATTATATCCACCATCACCTCCTCCATAACTACCTCTGCTACCACCACCTCCACCACCATAGCCTCCTGAGGAAAAACAAGAAATGAATTAAAATCATATATTCAACTTACTGAAATGTTAGGTGTGCATGTACTCAGAAGATAAACAGCCTACCTCTTCCACCAAAGTTTCCACCACGGCCAAAATTACCTCCACCACCTCCAAAGTTTCCTCCACGACCCATAAAATTGCCAGATCCACCTCCACGACCTTTAACACAGGCAAGGGAGATTTTTAAGAACCTTACAAACATGACTCACGTCCACTGTGTACATGTGTATGGTCCTACTCACCTCTCTGTGATCCAGCAGACTGCATCTCTTGTTTAGAAAGGGCCTTTTTCACTTCACAATTATGCCCATTAATAGTGTGGTATTTCTGAACTAAATTTTTTTTTAATCAAACAAAACAGAAAGTTATTTTATGTTTGGAAAAGCACATATACGAGATACCCTCTGTCATTATGTAACCCATTGAGACATAATCAGGTAGTTACTCTGGGAATGAAGGAGCATTCTGAGATGTTAATGTTTATTTCTTGATCTGGATACTGATTACACAGGTATAGACACTATAAAAACTGACTATACACTATAAATGCCATTACACGCAACAGAAAATTACAAGCAATTTAGCAAATTTAGTCCAAGACAGAAAACCCACGTCTACTTTCTCATTCAAGTTACCATAAATTGTTACTTACCAACAATTTTATCAACTGTATCATGATCATCAAAAGTTACAAAAGCAAATCCTCTCTTTTTTCCACTCTGCCTGTCTTCCATAACTTCTATGGTTTCAATTTTGCCATACTTTTCAAAGTAGTCTCTCAAATTATATTCTTCTGTATCTTCTTTAATACCACCAACAAAAATTTTCTTCACTGTTAGATGGGCACCAGGCTTTACAGAATCCTATAAATAAAGTAATATATTAAGTCAAGAAACAAACTTTCACAACAATTTCATATATTACACAATATATTATTAAAATACCTCTCTAGAAACAGCTCTCTTTGGTTCCACTACACGCCCATCAACCTTGTGTGGTCGAGCACACATTGCTGCATCCACCTCTTCAACACAAGAATAAGTCACAAAACCAAAGCCCCTGGAACGTTTTGTTTGGGGGTCTCTCATTACCTACAAAATAAAAGTTTTACAACGTTGAAAACATCTCCACGGATTCTCTTCAACACTTAGAACCCTTCTATTCCCTTAGTGTAACTTACCACACAATCTGTGAGTGTGCCCCATTTCTCAAAATGTTCTCTTAAACTATCATCTGTAGTTTCAAAGCTCAGACCACCAATAAACAGTTTTCTCAACTGCTCTGGTTCCTTTGGATCATGGCCCTGAGAGAAAGAACCAATACTCTTAAATTATCTTACAGTAGATAGATTAAGATGCACGAAGAGCCTTTAATGTACTGTAAATAATAAAATCAACATCAAATTCCTGTGACAATTAACACTTTGTCCAGTTAAAACTTTGACCAGACACTGGGCGCGGTGGCTCATGCCTGTAATCCCAACACGCTGGGAGGCCGAGGCAGGTGGATCACCTGAGATCAGGAGTTCAAGACCAGCCTGGCCAACACGGCGAAACCTCATCTCTACTAAAAACACAAAAACTAGCTGGGTGCGGTGGCAGGCGTCAGTAATCCCAGCTACTCGGGAAGCTGAGGCAGGAGAATCGCTTGAAGCCAGGACGCGGAGGATGCAGTGAGCCAAGATCGTGTCATTACACTCCAGCCTGGGCGATAGAAGCGATACTCCGTCTCAAAAAAAACAAAACAACAACAAAAAAATAAACAACAAAAACTTTGACCAGAAATACAGACTTCAACTGTTAAAAGGGCTAATTCATGTCAAGGAAACCTATAACCAGCCTTTCAAATGCCAACATCACTTCAACTAAATTGAAATCCAAGACAAATCCAGAATCTAAAAACCCTTCATTTTTTAAAAGCTGCAATTGTCTGAGAACCTTTACTTTAGAAGTTGCTAATGAGAAGTCATTTTCTAAGGCACTAAACTGTTGGAGAAGCAGTGTTGCATCTATCCCACTTCAACTCTTCTCAGTCTACATCCCAACATGCTTTTAATTTTAAACTCCAAACTGTGATGAACAATCTAAAAGTTCTAAATGTCAAACTTACAGAAACTCACTGCTTTCAAGCAAATTAATTTAAAATAGGCATTCCTAAGCCAAACCAGCATCTCCCAAAAAAACTAAGAGGAAAAAAAAAAAAGCCGACCAAATAGCTTTCTATAACCCATGTTTGTTATATGCTGCAAAAATCTTCATTTTATGACTCAATTTTAAGAGTCACAACAAACTGCCAAGTTGAACTTACATTAGGAATGGTATATATTGTCTGACTATAAGAACGGAGCACAGCAAAACAAAAATTGAGATTTTTAAGAATTAGGATGTCTTGATATTGTTTTATACTTCAGTCAGACTTCTTAACACATTGCATGAACTGTCATTTAATGCATGCATTAAGGTTTCCTTCACCCGAAGTCCTTAAATAAGGGAGCTCACATTTACATTCTCATGTCTTCAAGTGTCTTCTAGAGGTAGAGATGTTAAGGCATTTAATGTGAAGAGATTGTCACATGCTAGAAAAAAATGTTAAGAGCCTAAAGCATTAATTTATGTAGTTTCATCTTTTCAAGTCTTGGATAAATGTATTCGATTGACAATAACGAAATCGACAAAAATATTTAGGATCCACATTAAATGTACTGCAAACAAGTGAAAATTTCAACTTTGGTTGCAGTCCTCTAAATAAAATTCCAGGAAACTACAAGCAGAGCCGACTCAAAGAATGGGAAAACACGAAGATAAAAAACATTTTAAAATTCTTCCTTAACATCTACACTCAAATCCTTCTCCACCCACCCTCCCCAACGGCCGGGGTCGGTAAAAAGCTGGCTGGGTTATTTTTCACATCTGCACTCAAGTTCTCAAATACTAAGTTCTTCGCCCACATGGCGGTTTGAGAAGTGTAATGTAACTACTTCAGCAAAAACAGGAAGTATTCTAAAGCAGCAAAGTTTTTAACAATCTCGTATTTCCAACAGGATGCTGCGAAGAAAAGAACAGGCCAATTATCGACTTCTCCTCGCGGAGAGAACCGGTAAAATGCCCAGAAAAGCGTCCGCCGAACTTCAGCGAAAGCACTACCTTCTCGTACTTCGAGGCCATTTGCGGCATTTTCTGCCGGGCCGCCTCCGCCCTCTTCCCTCCAATCCCAGGCTCTCTTTCCCGGCGGCAGAGCGAGGCGGCGGCCATTGCGGGCCAATGCGCCATTTCGTAACGCGGCGGCGGATCAATGTCAATGTGGCCGCCGCCCGCTTGCTCGCTCGCCCGGATGTGCCTGCTCGTCCCTTCCCCTCCCCCACAGCCTCTTCCCAACCGCTCCCGCCGGGGCCCGCCATGCCGCCCTCGGCCTCGCTTCGGAGGCCGCGCAACCGGCAGGCCGGCTTCCCTCCCGGGACCTCCCCGACCACGCCGCGCCTCCAAGGGGCCGCCTGTGCAGCCGAAGGTGAAGGCGAGGCGGGTGAGGGGCCCCGAGAAGGTCTCCAAGGCCCGCTCCCCTCCCCCTCCCACCGCCCGTCTCAACGCAAGAGCGCGGGACGGCCTCCCCGCTCCCACCAAACCAGGCCCCCCACGCCGGCCATTCCCCACCAACCCCCCGCTCTCCCCCTAATACCTCCTCCCCCCGGCGGCGACGGCGACGGCCGGAGTCGGGCTGGGGGCGACCGGGCGGCGGTTTTACCTCCATTTTGAGACCGGACTCGCCTCTTCCAACTCGAGTTCAATATGGGACCGAGAGGAAGAGGCGGGGCCAGTCGTCACGTGACGCGTTTTCCGCGCGCCGCCAGTCTGGTGGGGGAGGAGCGAGCTGGGGAGGGGGCGGAGCCAAGCGGGCGCGAAGAACGACTGGACCAGCGGGTTGGCGGGCGGAGGGCGGAGGCGCGGCGTGCCGCGGGAGCGCGCGCGCCTCGCCGACTTTCAGGGCAGGACCGCCTTTGCCGCCGTTCGCGTCCGGACGAGTTCCGGCACGTCAGTTCGGTCTCCGCCAATGGTGAGCGTCCACGTAGAGAAAACGCCTCGTGATCGCGCGTCACCAGAGAGAAAGGCCTTTCCCTTTCTTCTCGCGCTTGTGCCTCCTTCCCCCGCAGTCCTCTGGTTTTCCATTTCCGAATTCATTCCATTCCTGTGCCCGAAATAAAACCCACGTTTTTCTTGCTTGTAATTTAAAGGTTGCAGGAAAAACCCCTTAGCCCTTCGGACCACCTCTCCTTTCCAAATGCCAGGGACCAGTGTCTGTGACTGCGGCGCCCACCTGAGGGCCTGTACTGAAAATCCCTGCGGCTCCGACGTGTAGGAATCACAGGCACCCTGGACAGGCCTCAAAACGCGGCTGACATACAGAATTTTTACCATTAACGACCTGAGGCAGGACTGGTGGAGGTCAGTTCATTAGTTACTGATCTCAAGAAACAAGTCAGGGTATTTTCTAATGTGCTTCTTTCAAGTTAGTGTGGAAAGAGCTGATGCATCTGTTGTAGCTGACGGAATTTAAGGAACTGAATAATTGACAAGATTTTCAGAAAAGCAGGGTCGCCAGATAATGCTACCAGTTTGCGAAAGATTGTTACCGTAATGCTCTAGAGATCTAATCCTTTCTCGGCCTAGTCAGATGATTTTAAATCATTTGACTTTACAGAGCTTTAGTTTCAGTTTTTTACATGAAAATGGGGATGGGATTAGATCATCTTTTAACACCCAGGCCAGCCATAAATTGATAATCTATGAATCCATATTTAAAGTTACTGATAAAAATAACCACAATTGACGAGCCTCCCTTCCCTGTTAGGAAATGCTTTATATTTTAATTTAGCAACCCATGTGACCAACTCTTTTAGAATTGAACTGGTTCTCCCTAGGAAAGGTTAGAAATCTAATCAGTTACATTAAAAGTTTCTGTTAACAAATGGGGAGTGGTCGACTTGGAGTTTGGAAAAGGGGAGCGCAAAGTCTAAGAATTTGTTAATTTATCTAACCATTGCCCCAGGAGGACCTGCGTTATAGTTTGGAAACATGCACAAAGGGTAGTTTTGTGGGGCAGAAACCAGTTAGCAGTCCTTAATGTAATTTGGATGAAGTAACCGTTCAAACCAGACGACTCCTGTTGCTTTGATACCTTTTTCGCAAACTTTCATGTATTCTGCGTATCCAGGTGCTCCTGATGGCCAGCAATAGACTTGAGACATTGTTAAGAATGTATAGCCTTAGCGTCTAGTTAAAGATTTTCTAAGTGTGATTACTGTGAAATAGTCCTGTTAATTTTATCAATTATGGATACAAAGAAAAATGCAAAGTGAAAGACCTTTGGAAAGTGGTATTCACACCAGAGTACCCTATGAAACACTACATAGGTGATCAAGAAGAGTGATCACCTGGCTGCACTTTAGGGTATGTTTTTCCAGGTTTTTCTAATCAAGTTCTAATCAATAACTTTTGTTCTAATTAATAACTTTTGTATAAATGTTAATGTTAAATCGCGAAACAATGTGGGATGGGATACTAAGTTCTCTCCAGGAACATGAAATGTCAGTCCATTTATTCACATCTTTTTGTCCTCCCCATTGTATTGGTCCAGATTTGTTGTTCATCCTGACTGTTTGCTGTTTTTAGACGTTATTTTTTATGCTTTTGTCTAAACTTAAGCTCTGGCCGGGCGCCATGGCTCACACCTATAATCCCAGGATTTTGGTAGACCGAGGCAGGCGGGTCACCTGAGGTGGAGAGTTTGAGATCAGCTTTGCCAACATGGTAAAACACCATCTCTACTTTTAAAAAATACAAAAGTTAGCCGGGCATGGAGGCACACGTCTGTAATCCCAGCTGCTTGGGAGGCTGTGGCACGAGAATCACTTGAACTCAGGAGGCGGAGGTTGCAGTGAGCGGAAATTGCCCCAGTGCACTCCAGCCTGGGTGACAGAGCGAGACTCCGCCCCTCTCCCTCACCAAAAAAAAAAAGGTCGGGTGCAGTGGTTCAAGCCTGTAATCCCAGTACTTTGGGAGGCCAAGGCGGGCGGATCATCTGAGGTTAGGAGTTCGAGACCAGCCTGGCCAACGTGGTGAAACCCCTTCTCAAAATACAGAATTGGTCGGATGTGGTGGTGGGTGCCTGTAGTCCCAGCTACTCTGGAGGTGGAGGCTGGAGAATTGCTTGAACCCGGGAAGCAGAGGTTGCAGTGAGCTGAGATCACACCATTGCACTCCTGCCTGGGTGCAAGACTCCATCTCAAAAAATAAATAAATAAACTTAAGGTCCAGTTGTGTCTCAGGTACAAAAACCACTTTTCCGAAAGTCCTTGACCCTGTAGGGCACAGACTTGAACCTTGGCTATGGTCTACACTTGCAGCCCTGACTCTTTGAAATGAGAAAGGGAGTGTATAGGATGGGAGGAGGGAGTGAGGGTCCTAGGGTTAGATGGGTGGCAGACAAACTTTATAATCTGTATCAGACCCTCTCCTTTATATCATGACATACAGAAAATGATCATTTTTGTGCAGCGTACTAGGGTAAAATAGAAGATATTTGGAGGCATTTAAATGGTGGTAATATTTTCTTTTAAGTATCTAATTTTGATAAAATACAAAGTATTAGGAATGATATTAAATATTAAATTTGCATAAAACTTTCAAATTAAAATTTCCCATGTTTTTTAGTGATCAACTCCTGTGAATATATTTTGATATTAGATTTTATGGTTGAAGTGGCTTTATGCGGTTTCTGATCTAGACTTTTTTTTTTCTTGAGACAGTCTCACTCTGTCACCCGGGCTGGAGTGCAGTGGCATGATCTCGGCTCATTGCAACCTACCACTCCTGAGTTCAAACAATTCTTGTGCCTCAGCCACCCAAGTAACTGAGATTACAGACCCATGCTACCATGCCCAGCTAATTTTGTTACAGAGTCTTGCTCTATTACCCAGGCTGGGGTGCAGTGGCACGATCTCTGCTCACTGCAACCTCTGCCTCCTGGGTTCAAGCGATTCGGGTTTCACCATGTTGGCTGGGCCGGTCTGGAATTCCTGATCTTAAGTGATCCGCCCGCCTTGGCCTCCCAAGGTGCTGGGATTATAGGCGTGAGCCACTGTGCCCAGCTGGAAGAAGGTAACTCATTCTTTTTGTTTATTTGTTTTTTTTTTTTTTTTTTTTTGAGACAGAGTCTCGCTCTGTCACCAGGCTGGAGTGCGGTGGAGCAATTTCGGCTCACTGCAACCTCTGCCTCACCGGGTTCAAGTGATTCCCCTACCTCAGCCTCTCAAGTAGCTGAGACTACAGGCACCCACCACCATGCCTGGCTAATTTTTTGTATTTTTAGTAGAGACAGGGTTTCACCATGTTGGCCAGGATGGTCTCCATCTCTTGACCTCGTGATCCACCCACCTCAGCCTCCCAAAGTGCTGGGATTACAGGCGTGAAGGAAGAAGGTAACTCTTAAAAGGGAGGAATTGTAATGAACTATAAGCTTTGTTATCTGCCGTTATATTCAGAATGTACCAAAGCTTTATTTTCTAAAATCTTGATTTTTAAATAAGGAGTTTATGAAGTAAAACACACACAAAAAAATCTTTCTCCACAAAATCCTATTACATAGATTTGACCATGATCAACAACTTATTATATATCCTCTCACATTTTCTTCTTGGCCTAATCAATGCTTATATATATGAAACAAACGTATTTGTTTTATTTTTGCAAATGTATGTCTAACTATCCAGATTGATTTGAAATTTCCTTTCTTTCCCGCTTAACAAAGTTATTTACCAAACTCTTACTATGTGCCAGGCAATGCTAGGTGCTGGAAATTCATCATAGTCACTCACATTATTGAATACTACTGTATACCTTGTAATGGGCCAAGTATTGTATGTTCCTGGTCTCATTCCCCTAACAAACTTAGGAGGGTAAATTCTCCCTAATCTGGGATGTAGGGAAGTTGAATACATTGACTAAAATTATATAGGCTCTACAACTAAAGTGCTGAATGAGAATGTCATATAATCACTGTATTTACATTTTAATATTCTTGAAGGTAACAACCTTTTCTTTAAAAATGTATCATACATTTGTGGTGTTCACTATGTTTCTTATGTTTCCAGAGACCACTACAGTGATTGGCTCTGTAGTAGGCAATTCACTTATTTGTGGAGTGAACATTCAACATTAGATGAATGAATGATGGATGACATATTTTGGGTCCCCTTCAATGCCCTGTTGGACTTTGATATGGTTTGGCTCTGTGTTCCCATCCAAATCTCACCTTGAATTGTAATCCCCGTAATCCCCACATGTCAAGGATGGGACCAGGTTGAGGTAATTGAATCATGGGGGGTAGTTTCCCCCGTGCTGTTCTCATGATAATTTGTGAGTCTCAGGAGACCTGATGGTTTTATAAGCATCTGGCATTTCCCCTGCTTGCACTCATTCTCTCTCCTTCCACCCTATGAAGAGGTGCCTTCTGCCTTGATTGTAAGTTTCCTGAGGCCTTCCCTGCCTTGTGGAACTGTGAGCTAATTAAACCTTTTTCTTTGTAAATTGCCCAGTCTTGGGTATTCATAG